CCAGCCAATGCTTCAGCCCCTCACCTCCTCCTCCACCTCCTCACACCTTGCCTACTTGCTCCGTCCTTTCGCTCTGAAACACTAAATGTGTTTCATTTTGAAGTTTTTGTGGGAAAGATAGTGTTCAAAGGGCGAGCAGCAGCCCTGCGTACCGTGTGCTGGGGTTTGGCAAGTAAATGTGTCATCAGTAATTAATTTATTTTAGACGATCCAGACCTGAAAGATATTGACCCTACAGTATTAAAACATTGCCATGCTGCGGCTGCAACATGTATTCTGGAGGCAGGGAAACAGAAAGCTGACATATCTGCTATAAGGTACTCATAGTTGGAAGCTTCACCAGTTTTCTAGCGGTTGTTACTTAAAAGTGTACTGCTGAGTTAATGGTAACAGAAAACTAATAAATTCTTTTTTCCCTGTAGCACATGTCTAGAAGACTGTAAACTGGATAAAGAGAGAATAGAACAATTTTGCACCGAATATCAGGTTTTAAAAACAACTTTAGCATATTAATTTTTTTTCTTCTCATAGGAATTTATTGAACCTAGTAAATATTTTTTCTTTTTTTTCCCCCCTCTCCAGAAAAACAAGGATGCATTGGAAATCCTATTGGGAAGGTAGGTCAATCAGTCAGCACAGAAACATAGTTTCAACTACAGTTAGTTTGAAATTGTTCTGGAAAACAGTTTTGCATGGTTTAGGTAATTTAAGTAAGAAATATTGTTCCATTTTAAAAGTACATTTTTAACAAACTCTAGAAACAGCTGTTGAAACTTTTCTTCATTAGGAATTCTACTCTAAAAAAATCTTTTTGAGCTTTTCAAGAAGCATTACAAGGATCATGAAAAAGTTCTTTATTGATGGACGGCTTTAGAAAATGACCTTTTCTTTTAGTGTAGGAAACTTGTAACTGTTTTGTCTTTCAGCATAGGCAGATCTCCTCTCCACATAACTGATGTGTCTTGGCGCTTGGAATATCAGATTAAGGTAATTTTAATGCACTAAGGTGTTTCTTTAGTCTGTCTTAGTGCTGAGAAATGACTGTTTTATGTGTTCTTTGTTTTTAATTTAGAACAATCAACTTCATAAAACTTATCAGCCTTCCTACTTGGTGACCTTAAATGTAGAGGTACTGTACTCCCAGCCCCCTGAAAGGAAAAAAATGCAATTTCATGATTCTTTTAAATAAAATAGACGTTGTTGTTTGTTTTTTTTTCCTTCAGAACAGTGATTCAGGATCACACCCAGATGTTAGTTTTAGTTGTACGATGGAGCAATTACAGGTACTTGTTTCCTTCATCATTCTATGCTTAGCTCCAGTTGTGGATGTAGGTGTTTTTAGCAACTTGCCAATCAAAATTAAATCATATATACTATTATTTAAAAAAAAAAAAATCTCTACTGGGAGAATATGAGAGAATCTTCCATAAAAATTATCTGAGTGTATTTTACTGTCTTTTCAAATAAAGTTGCAAAGTAACTGATTTTAGTTGTGTGAGGAGTGTTTTACATACTGCATAAATATTTTGTCTGTTTTCATAGCTGTAATCTATATATGTATTTGGGAGGAAATTCATCATTTTCTGAAACTCTGATTTCCCGTGCTTTAGAGAAATGATTAAAGAAGCTGGTTCAATGATTTAAATGTGTCATGATTAAAAATAGAGAGCAAACTGAAGGCTCTTCAGTGGTGTTAATGACATGTAAGAAATGTACTGAAACAAACGTTGATCTTTGTTTAGCGATTTAAATGTGTAACTGAACAATAGAGGTATTGTAATGCTTGGAAGTGGCCAAACTCTGGAGGATCGGGAAGAGGGGTTGTGGAGAGAGGAAAAGCAAGATATTAAAACTTTAGGTTTTAAATGTGTGTCTTAAAAGTTGTCCTTTCCTCACTAATGAGCGTTTCTAGTCAGTTTGCTGACATAGCAAAATCTGACATGCTTTGGCTAGAGAATGATCCTGGTACAAAATTGCACTCAAAATATTTTCAGTATTTTAGAAATGCACGTAGTACTTCAAAGCCTGGAGCGGATGTTAGTGTTAGCCATTGTGGCAATACTGATAAAATCTACGTGTTAATAGTAGCGATCTGGTTTAGGAGCAAATACATTTTTAAAAGTGTTTTCCTTCAGTTCCCACTTTTCTAACTACACTGTAAAATATGGAGCTGTTTAATTACTTGCCGGCATTGTTTGTCAGTTGCAACATTTCTTTGTGCTACAAGGTGCTGGTTTCCCTTGCCTCTCTGTATAAAAAAGATACTCTGTTCCTCTAGCTGACCTTCTAAAAAATATGTTTATTCTAAGACAATATTTCATCTCTTAGGATTTAGTTGGAAAACTAAAAGATGCTGCAAAAAGTCTAGAAAGAGCGACTCAGATGTGATTGAAGGAAGGTGTCAGCCTGCTGAGCTGAAGTACTCTCATTCCTAAGAGTGTCTCCTAAATGACAAATGTCTTTCATCTCTTGATGCAAACTGTCCTTTTTTTTTTAAGTCCCTGGATGTGAATTAAATGAAACAACTTTTTTACGTCCGCATTTGGTATTCCTTGCTCGTGTAATTTTTTTTTTATTAATTCTTGTTAAGTATTTGCTTAACTGTCATGTCATCAAAGCATTCCTTCTGTCTTATTTTGTATATTTTTACATTTGTCGCTGCTTATTTTTCTCTGTTATCTAATAAAAGTTTATTCGCGCCTGTTCTGCAATTTCTATGGGTGAATTAGCTGTACCTAAAAGTAAGATGCTAAACGTTAGATCAGCTCAGTGAGGCGAAAGTCCCTTCCTCCCGTGCCGCGGCTGCGGCGCGTTTGCTAAATCGCCCGCCGCGCTTTGTCATTTCCCTCCAGCCGATCTTACATCTCCCCTACGAGTAAAGGTTGGACCCCGGCGCGGGTGGCAAGAAAGGATTCAGTTTAATCGTATGGGCTCGGGGTGCCTCGAGGAAAGCCGAG